AGCCAGGACTGGCACCAACCATGGGGCATCTCAGAGCCAGCACAGGCCAGAAATCAGCTCTGCCAAGGAGTGACGGGCAGGATAGGTCCCCAGGGTGGGCACGGGCTGGTCCCCCGCACCCAGCTGACCCAGTGAAGATGCTGGCATTGGGATGAGGATGCCAGCGGTGAGGCGAGGATGCTGGTGGTGAGGATGGGTGCCCGAGGGTGGGCTGAGTCAGAGCTTCCTGCCGTCCCTCCCTCCCTCCCTCCCTCCCGAGGATGCAATGCCGGTGGCGAGGCGAGAATGTCGGTGCCCGAGGGTGGGCTGAGTCAGAGCTTCCTGCCGTCCCTCCCTCCCTCCCTCCCTCCCGGCAGCATCAACCCCATGATACGGGGGATGTGCCAGCCTGGCAGCCACGCAAAGCGCAGCCACGCAAAGCGCAGCCACGCTCCCTTGGCCAGGAGTGACTCTCAAAGTTGTTTGGGTTTTTTCCTCTTCGGAATAAAAAAGAAAGAAAAAATCAGATGCCCAACCGCTGTTTCCTTGATTTCCTGGGCTCACCACAGGTGGGAAAGGGGAGGACAGGGGAAAAGAGGGGGGAACACCAGCACCCCTGCGTGAACCCTGCAGCACATGCTCGTCATCAGCCCAGCCCAGCACCCTACTTCCCATGCCTTCCCCAGAGACGCCGAGCTGTTATCTCCTCTCTTCCCAACACCGTGCAACCTGGCACCCAAAAACCAACGCGGTTGTGGCGCCGCCATCCCCAAGCCCACTCCGTCCATATGGAAACCCCCCTGTCACATACAAGTCACCCTCAGCAGCCCCTTTTTCTGCCAGTGCCCACCCCTCCGTCGCAGCCATCCCTGTCCAGCACCGCTCTCTTTCTCTGCTCACCTGAACCTCATTTATTTTCCCGATGGTTTTCCAGGACTCCCCAAGAATGCCACCGAGGACATTTTTATGGCCACCTCCAGTCAGGTTATGAGCTCTCTGCCCCAGGGGGGACCTTCCCTTCCTACTTTATGGGTCTGAACTGGGAGGGCAGCTTTGCTGCCCATCACAGACCCCCACAGGGATCGCTCAGCTGGGGGTGATGTACAAGCCCACCCCCAGTGCCAATGGAGAACCCATCCCCAGCCAGCAATGCCTCGGTGGGGAACAGCGCTGGATCCAGCCCCTCTCTGTGTCAAAATGCCCATCACCTGTGGGACCGGCCATGCTGGCTCGGTGCGAGCAGAGCTTGGTAGCCCTGGCTGCCCACACGCTGCTGCTGGTGGATTCTCCAGTGTCTAATAAGGACTGAGCCTAGCCTGCAGCTTCCCCACCTTCTCCCTGCCTTTCTCCCAGGAGGGACCCAGCCCCTCCAACCTCTGCCAAATTTGGCTGAAACTGGCCACCGAGCGCGACCAAACGTGTGCCAGCCCCACGGGCAGCCCGGGTGGGCAACAGGGGGCTGGCATCCCCTGCACACCCCTCTGCTGGGGTTACCCTGTGGGCAGGCACCGCTGCCCAGCCCCACAGCGGCTGCCCCCGCAGCCTGCCCCAGCCACCTGCCAGCAGCACAGGAAGTTTTAGGAGCTATTTTTAGGCCTGGCTTTTGTTTCCACCCCACCTCACTTTAGCAATCTCTTACAAAAAGACTGAAGAGGTGAGGCTCAAACCCTGCTACTCTGTGGGGATGGGGCTGGGCTGACCCCAGTGCTACCAGCATGGAGGGACCACAGGTCCTGGGTTGTGTTGGGCTCCCCTGGTCCCCCCCGGGACAAGGGGGTGGCGATGCTCACGTGGCTGCACCCCAGCCACGTGTTGCCGGTAACACCGGCAGATGTGCTCGCGCACGTGGCGGAGGCGGCAGTGGCGAGCAGATGCCTTTGGGGGAGTTCCTCTGATTTTTTCTGCTGTCCCTTGAGATTGGAAAAGCAGACCCTGGTGATGCCCGCAGCATGTCCCAACACCACCCCAGCCCTTCACACTGCGATATCCAACCGCCCCGTGGCACCGCTCCTGCTGGAAACAGGACGATGCTGGGGTCTTCCAGACCAGCATCTCCTCTGCTCCCTGCCTCTGCCCTTGCCTGCAGCTGGGGTGGATTTCTGCCCCAAGCATCCTCCAAACCAGCACAGCGAGCAGACCCATGGCTCTGTCCCGGCACAGCCACCACAGTCAAGACAGCCACCACGGGCTACTGGGCAGCACAACGGGCACAGTGCTGCTGGCACCCATCCCTCCAGCCCTGGCTTTTGCTCAGAAATGGAGTTAATTGTTTCATAGTGTAAAAATAGCACCCGTCACAATCAGCTGGGGGATTTAATAAGGCGAGCCCTGACAATTATGTTTCTATTAGTAGAGGTACCGTGGCGTTGTTAAGGCAGACTCCTGGTAAGCATTTGGTAATGATCCATGCAAACGGAGAAGGAAGATCGTGGTAATCAATACTGAGCAGGGGTGGCTGACGGGAGGGAAGGGAAGAGGAAAGGGGTGGATATGGCATTGGAGAGCTGAGATGGGTGGGTGGTGGGGTGCTCCTCATCATGGGGTGCTGCCAGCCCAGGACCTGCTTGCCCCCAGCCCAGTACACGCCAGCAAGGGCAGCACCGTGTCCTCCCCGGTGACCACGGGGCAGAGCAGGGAGCATTAGTGGTAATTTTGGGGTGGGAATGCTAAGATGACTGAGGATAAAAAGATGAGGAATTTACCTCTTCCAAGGAAATGAGGGACCAGAGAATCAACCTGGGATCAGGATGAAGAGGAGGGATCCTGCACCACGGGGAAATGCTGGATCAAAGGGGTCACTCACCGCAGCTCCCAGTGCTCCTCAACACCTCCAAGGGGCAATTTTCTCCCCAGCCTCGGCACAAGACCAAACCCCATCAGCTGCATCCGGAGACCTGGTTGGGCGCAGGGAGGAGGTTTGGGAGCCTGCGC